CATGAAGGCAATCAAAACCTGGGCAATTCCAGTCATTAGGTACACAGCTGGAATAGTGGACAGGACTCAAGCAATGGATAGGAAGACCAGAAAAATAATGACAATGAATCATGCCCTTCATCCATGCAGTAACATAGGGCAAATAGGTGGGTGTGGAATGCTGCAAGTACATCAGATGGTTGAAGAAGAAAAAATGGCTTTGGAAGAATATCTGAAGGACAATGATGAAGATGCACTGAAATTAGTGTATCAGGAAGGTTTACTGACTACTGGAGAGACCAAACTGGCCTACAAGAAAGACCAAATGAAGAACAGAATAGAGGCATGGGAAGACAAAGCACTACACGGCCAGTACATTAATAAAATAGCTGGGAAAGCAGATAATAACAAGACCTGACAATGGCTAAGAGCAGGAAAATTGAAGAAAGAGACCGAGGGTCCAATTCTGGCTGCACAAGACCAAGCCTTAAGGACAAATACATACAAAGTTAAAATTGAAAAGATAGCAATAGACAGTAAGTGCTGCCTATGCAAAGAAGCTGAAGAAACAGTGGACCACTTGGTAAGCTCCTGCAAGAAGATCGCACAGACTGACTACAAGCGGCATGACAAAGTAGCAACAATGATACATTGGAAGATCTGCAAGAAATATCATTTGCCTGTAAGCAAGAACTGGTGGGAGCATACAATAGAGAAAGTTATAGAAAATGATAACATTAAACTGCTCTGGGAATTCAAACAGACAAACATCTGCAACATAACACCCTGGACTTAACAATTGTTGATAAGAAAGACAAAAAAGTCTGGATAGTGGACGTGGCAGTGCCTGGAGACAACAGAATAGACGAGAAAGAACTGGAGAAGATAACAAAATACAAAGACCTACAAATAGAAATAAAAGGACCGTGGCAACGGCAAGCAAGGGTAGTACCAATAGTAATAGGCGCCTTGGGTGCAATCCCAAAACAACTGGAGCACCACTTGAACACCATTGGCATTGACAAATTCGCCATTAATCAATTGCAAAAGGTGGCCTTACTAGGAACTGCTTCCATCCTGCGACGATATCTGTAATACCTTCAAACATCCACATCAACCTATCCCAGGTCCTTGGCAAGGACTCAGTAGGCAGACAAAAATGCCAAATCCAGTCTGAACATCTGGCTGACTGTGTGATGATCAATAATAATAATAATAAGTTGGAAGGATCTTGGAGGTCATCTAGTCCAACCCCCTGCTCAGACAGGAAATCCTATACCATTTCAGACAAATGGCTGTCCAATCTTTTCTTAAAGACTTCCAGTGTTGGAGTATTCACTGCTTCTGGAGGCAGGTTGTTCCACTGGTTAATTGTTCTAACTGTCAGGAAGTTTCTCCTTAGTTCTAGGTTGCTTCTCTCCTTGATTAGTTTCCACCCGTTGCTTCTTGTCCTGCCTTCAGGAGCTTTGGAAAATAGCTTGACTCCCTCTTCTTTGTGGTAGCCCCTGAGATATTGGAACACTGCTATCATGTCCGCCCTTGTCCTTCTCTTCATTAAACTAGACATACCCAATTCCAGCAACCGTTCCTTGTATGTTTTAGCCTCCAGTCCCCTAATCATCTTTGTTGCTCTTTTCTGTACTCTTTCTAGAGTCTCAACATCTTTTTTACGTCATGGTGACCAAAACTGGATGCAGTATTCCAAGTATGGCCTTACCAAGGCATTGTAAAGTGGTATTAATATTTCATGTGATCTTGATTCTATCCTTCTGTTATTGTAGCCTAGCACTGTGTTGGCTTTTTTGGTAGCTGCAACACACTGCTGGCTCATATTTAAGTGATTGTCCACTAGGACTCCGAGATCCCTCTACTATTGAGCAAAGTACCTCCTAAACCAGTGATGGCAAACCTTTTAAAGATTGAGTGCCCAAAAACTGCCCCTCTGCACACCCCACCTCCACCAGCAGGGCCACCCACCACCTCCACGGCCTGCTGCAGCAGATTGCCCAGGTGGCCCTTCAGCGCCATGGCAGCCATGCCCTCTGACAGGGTGTGAGGGTGGAGTCTTGTCCCTGCTGCCCGGCTGCCATGTCCTTAGCTCTGCTACCCTGCTCAGGCCGCACCCAGGGGCAACTCTTCGGGGGGGGGGTTGATGGTGAGGAGGGGGCCATGAGGGCAAGTGAGGCTTGGGCAACAGCACGCGTGCCCACAGACAGGGCTCCAAGTACCGCATCTGGCACACGTGCCATAGATTCATCACCACTGTCCTAAACTATACCTGTGCATTTGGTTTTTCTTGCCTAAATGTAGAACCTTACTTTTTTCACCACTGAATTTCATTTTGTTAGATAGCGCCCAGTGTTCAAGTCTGTCCAGGTCCTCCTATATCCTAAGCCTGTCTTCTGGAATGTTGGCTATTCCTGCCAGCTTGGTGTTGTCTGCAAATTTGATGAGTTCCCCATCTATCCCCTCATCCTAGATAGGCTTGATTGAGTACTGGGCTAAAACAAGTAGCACAGAATTTTAAAAAGAAATATAAAGGTCTATACTGTATATGGGTGGGAAAATGCAATGTTCAATTACTAGGTAGACTAAGCTTGCCAGTAGTACATGTGAAAAAGATAGCTGTGTCTTTGTTGGCCATACGATAAACATGACCCAGCAGTTACAAAAAGAAAAGCAATTAGAAAAGCAAATGTGATGTTGGTGTAAATTAATGGGAACACGGAGTCCAGATATTGAGAAATAATTGTTTGACTCTAGTGTGTCCTGCTCAGATTTCCTTTGTAGTCATCAACTTACAACCAGAATTGAGCCCAAAATTTCTGTTGCTAAGCAAGACAGTTGTTAAGTGAATTTTGTCCCATTTTATAACATTTGCCACAGTTGCCAAGCAAATCACTGTAGTTCCTAAGTGAATCATGTGGACGTTAAGTGACTCTGGCTTCCCCCATTGACTTTACTTGTCTGGAGCCAGTAAGAAAGTTATAATTGGTGATTACATCACTCCAAAACAGGATACATGCCATTTGCCAAGCACCTGAATTTTGATCATGTGACCGTGGCGTATGCTGCAATGGTTGTAAATGTGACACCTATCAAGTCATTTTCTCAGTGCCATTGTAACTCCGAATGGTAATTAAATGAATGGTTGTAACTCTAAGATTACCTGTATTTTTTGTATTTGTTTTGTGTTTTTAACTGTTTAAGATGCCCAGAGTCCTGTATATGAGACAGGCAGTTATGTAAATTGAATGAATGAATGAATGAATGAATGCTCTGATAATTTTTTTCACTTTTCCCTATGATTTTATTTGGGGGAAAAAAAATCCAGTTTCTGCTGAAGTCCCAGTGGTGTGCATGTGTCTGTACCTTTTCCCCTGCAGAGAACAAAGACACTTCTTTAGCAAACATTAAACTTTGTCTTTCCCCAATTTCTTAAGATTGCTTATTAATCCATTTTTTTTGTCTTGTGCAGCCAGCCCTGTGAGCTAGTCCAAACAAGAAGCCAACCATGACTACATTTATTATAAGAGTATAGTAACAGAATCTTGCAAGTCTGAAAGCACATCTGCCTCCTCTTCCCTTTGCCTTTACTGTCCAGGGAACTAGGAAGGGTCCCTCCTGAGGTGCTTTCTATATCATCATTTCTTCAGTGGGCGGACATGTCTCTTATCTGACTTTTGCCTTGGCTGGACTCTTCCTCCTCCTGTTTCTCAAAATTATTCCCACAGACCATAACACAGGAGTTCAGTTTCTTATTCTGATTTTTAGAAGTTACCTTGACAAAGTCCATGCAATCGGGGATTTATTATCCTCTATCATATTGTACATATTTTTATACTTCCAGTTATAGATTTGTGATTTTATTACTTCCCATCCTGTTCTAAATACTTACTTTGATATTTCCAATTATATTATTTTATGTACGTTTGTAGTTTTCTGTATTTCATGTTCTTGGTTGCAATATTATTTAAAGGTTTTAAAAATTGAAGTGTTGAAAAAAATTGATAAGCTTACTTAACATTCCAGTTCCTTATAAATTTAATTATCTTGATTAAAAGCAACATCCTTTGATCTACATGTTTATTTCTTCAGTAATCTGAAGTCACAGACTATTAATACCGCACTTGAGCCTTCTTTAAACCCAACTGACATTAAAGAAAGAGTGCTCATTAATTCATCTTCACTGAACTATATACATGAATGGTAAAAGCTGAGATAATTTGGGGGGGGCAGAGGGGAGAGGGGTTATGTTTTCTGAAATGATATGTGTGATGTCTCAAGTTTAGCTAGATAGGTTAGGTGCTACCAAGATAAAGCTCCTTCTTATTAAAATAAAATATTTGCTATTTCTGTTTGAGGTGCAGTCCATTTTTTATCTTTCTATATGACAAACCTTTTACTTGAGGAATTTTCATTTTTTCCTTGCCTAGCATACTTCAATATATTTGGCCACTTAGTAGTGCTTCTTAGCATATGCATACAAGTGCACACACACCCACACACAAATGACCAGATCATAAATGCATACACATTGTTTGGACAATCGTATTTGTTACCATAAATCTCACTATACCATCCAGATTTATTTGCACTGTCTTCAAATTCTACTTTCTATTTAACAAGGTAGCCAAAACCCCCCAAAAGGCAGTTCCTTGAATATAATTTCCATTTTGGAATAACGCATGATCTGAAACCAGCTAAATAAATTGTACCAGACTGGTTTTGGGGATCCAAGGGGAGGAGAACAAAGATAAGACTTGCAACATGGGGTAATGCAACCAAAAACATAATGAAAAGCCGTTTCAGAAACATTACATGAAGCATAAGCAGGAGACAGATACAGGTAATACTAGAGATTAACCCCTTATATGAAAACAATATACATGCTTTTCCTTCTCTTCTGAAAGATCAGCAAATACATGTCTTCTGGGGGACATGTGCAATGTTAGTTCATATATTAACATTATATACTTAATAGGTCTGCAGTTCTGTAGTTTTGTAATCGAAGTCATAAAAATAGTATAAAATGTGTTTTTTATTTTTCTATTTGGTCTTCAATAAAGAATGTTTTACAAATTAATATACAAAAAAGAAAATTAGGAGTTTATAGAAGGGTCACAAGAGAGGGAAGGTAGCTATATATCTCTCTATATAAATATACACATAATATACAAAAATATGCTGGATATTGCATTTATGGCACAATATATATACAGATAAAAGCACACATATGGCATGTAAAATCATTTCATTTGATACTTTTGTCAGATATAATGTGAAATCTTGCCATGATTTTAAACTTTATCAAGGCAGTAGAAATTCTTTCTGTGAGTTATTTGACTTTGACTTAAGCAGCAACTAAAAGGATAATTATTTTTTTCTAAATATTGGCTGGTATTAATCTTATCTGGGAGAAGAATAGCAATGTTCTGTCATGTGATACAAAAATCAAAACAATTCAAATGACATCCAAACCCACAGCACCTGGAAGAATTCGGCTACACATTTCGTAATTTTAATAGGAGCACCTATTTGTCAGGAACACAGCAGAGATCAAGATATTGAATAATTAACAAATGACTCAAGAAGTGTGTGTGTGTGTGAGAGAGAGAGAGAGGGGGGGGAGGGAGGGAGACTGTGTGTGTCTGTATATGTGTGTATAAATATTCTAGTGTTTTCCCATCAATGCAGGGTCTGATATTATGGTAGAAAATGGCAAAAAAACACCTTTTGGATATGCTGGATTTGCTTAATGACCATTTGATTCATTTAACAACCATATTATTCTTTTAACAACCATGGTAATTCACCTAAAGACTGTTATGAAAATAATCATAAAATTGAGTCAGGTGACGCGAAGACTCACTTAATGACTGCAACTTACAACCAAAGTTCCAGGCTCAATTGTGTTCATAAGTTGAGGACTACACACACATATGTATTAAAATCTTATTTCAATTCCCTAAATATATTTTGCAGTAAATTTCCAAAATAATTAGGATGTGGACTCTGTCTACACAGAATCACATTTGATTAACATATGTTTATATGATTGTAGCCTAAGTGTGCTTTACTAGATATAACCTTTTCCTGTTGCGATAGTTTAATTCAGTCAAACTTCAAGATTTTGAACTGGATTTAGTGTGTTCAGACTGTTTACAAATCGCTTATGTTATTTTCTATTTTTGAAGACCAGTAATTATTAACCAACAGTTAATAATTCTTTCTGTAGAAAGGGATTTCACTGAATTCAGTGGAACATTCTTCTAAATAATCATATTTGGGATTGTACTATATAATTCCCAGAAAAACACTGTTTACATTTTTATCCTTTTATGAAAGTGAAATTCTAGAAACCAGGATTCTTCACAATTCATCACAACTGCAGTAACTAAGATTATTATTTTAGTAAGATCAGTTTTGAGGAGATAGAAGAAAAAAGCAGCAGGACTGTAACATTCCCCAGTTTACCTTCCGTAGTTTCAGTTTTCTGAAAGCAGACCTACCACTATAGTCTGTCTATATTCTATAAAACCCTTCAGATTTCTAAAATGTTAATAAGAAAAAACCTCAAGTTTGTGCAAAAACCTCAAGTCCTACACCCTATATGCATTAATTAGTGTTGATAACTATCTTTCTTAGCAAACAAGAGTGAATAGTTAATCAACCTATAGCTTTTAAATGCCTGAGAAAATTTAACCTGTACCTTCTAAGAATAAATTTAGCAACACTGCTACCAAAATTACTTGTACATAAACCCCCTAGAGGCTTCAATTGAATATAATGGGATCTAGCTCTAGATTATCCTGTGTTGCTCTCATTGTAATGAATGACTTTTCTTTGGGAAAGTAAGCAATATGACTTTTCTATTCTTAAATTGAAAAAAAGCAATTAAAAAAATAAATTTTCTGAACCAAATTTTCATAGCACTATGTTCAAGCTTAAACCTCAGGCTAGTTGAGTTTATTATGAATGGTCACTGCACTAGCAATAGCTCTTAGACTTATATACTGCTTCATAGTGCTTTACAGCACTATTTACAGCAGTTTACAGAATCAGCATATTGCCTCCAACAATCTGGATCCTCGTACTGACCTTGGAAGAATGGAAGGCTGAGTCAACTGATCAGTATCAAACTCCTGGCAGTGGGAAGAATTAACCTGCAATACTGCATTCTAACCACTGCACCACCACTGCTTTATTTATTTAATTAATTTTGATTCCTAGTGCTTCTGAATAACTTAAATATGCTTAGTTATATACAGGAGCAGGTAGGAAGCATTGTTTTTGACTGATTAAAACAGCTATGTCTCCTTGTATGATTATTATTATGTGGGAATTGTTCCTATCTCTACAGGTGGATACATGTGCAGTCATGCATTGTATTGAATAAACATGACTGGATAATCTGTTTTTGATTCATGTGCTTTGTTTACAACAGTTTTAAAAGATGACAAGTTTGCTATGAGACAAAAACATTGCTATGAAAAGATTGCTTTTTAGTAAAAAAAATGGGAATAGAGCTGAAATCACATTGTCTTCTTGATGTTTCTACTCAATTCAGTCTTTTTTATTTGATATTCATGGACTAAAGTGATCCACCTATCATAAAAACTAAGAGCCATAGAATGGTGTAATTCCTAAAAGGGCAGAATTGCCAGAGTTCTTCTTATCCTGGGTTTGCTATTTTTCTTGGACTTTCAGGTAGATACACAATAATTATGAACTTTGGGGTGCCTTAATTTCTTAGGCAGCTATGTATATCTTTATCAGTTTCACATTGCTGCAGTAGGAGAGGAGGAAGCAATACCCCAACAGGCTAGGTTACCAAGGAATTGCTGCCATTTTGCTGACTGTGTAGCCTTGTTTTGAGAAGAAAAAAATACAGTGAGTCATGTTTCCTCCTAGAAGAGCCTCTTGCTGAAGCTTTTGGTGGCTCCAGAAGATCTTGTATGATTCTTTTATTTATTGAGAGAATGTGGATTGAGCCTTATAAATGAGATATGAAGGCTGGTGAAGGTGGTTTGGGGAACAAGGCAATCCAAAGGTTGCTCTTTGCCTGGTCTCTGCCTTCTGATGCAATTAGCAGCTCATCATCAGCAAGATAGGAAGGTTGGGTGGAGAAGCCACTGTCATGTCCTCTGGCACCTGCTTTTTGCTGGCAAGGGATCAGAGTCACTGAGGAGAAGCTGTAGGCATCTAGAACTGAGGAACACCTGCGAGGCACTCTATAGAGATCTGATGCTTCAAATATATGATCCATATCGGAGAAAGGAACAAGAGCTTGAGTAGAGTCACATGAGCTCTTCTCTGTATCCTCAGAAATACAAGACTGAGCACAGCTTTCCTGGACCTGACTCTTCTGCTTCAAAAGCCGCAAATCATCTCTAAAATGGGGGTTAAAGAGTAAATAAAGCAAGGGATTCAGGCAGGCTGGCAGGGGCAGCACCACCAAAAGCACAGACTTGATGACTTCGGGGGTGATGAGAATGAGGCTAAGCATGGAAGAGAAGGTGAGAAAAGCCACCGGGCAGTAAAGAAGGCAGTTGGTGAAAATGAGCCAAGCAACATGTTTGATCATAGCACAGTCCCAGACAGAGTCAAACTCACCTTTCAGCAGGTTGCAATAGAGGCGGATGTATGTCCCAGTGATAATGAGGAAGCAAAGTGTATTCACTAGCACCAAAGCGACCATGAAACCCAACATGGAAGGTTTCCCATCAGGAAGTAGGTGGGGCAGACAGAGAGGGGATGCCCCATACTCCCCAATGGAGAAGAGGGGCAACATTGCAGCCACTGAAGAGAGGATCAGACAACTCAGGGCACCTGCCTTGACAGAGCCAAAGGAAGGAACCTTTCCATATGTCCGCATGCACGACACCGAAAAGCTGCACTGCACTGCAGCAAGGGTTAAGAGCAGAATGGAAGCTTCTGAAGCAAAAACTGACAGGAATCCAGTCACTTGGCACCCTGCACCCATCTCCCATCTGGCCCCGTATTTTGCAAAATGACCAAAGGTGACTGCATCCACAAATGCTAGAATAGCACAGTATATCCCTGTTAATAAATTGGTTCCAGCAATGGATCCAATGATAAACTTGGTTGGGGACAGATAGCCTGGCGAGGCAAAAACAACCACCATAACCAGCCCATTGCACAGCACAGAAACTAGCATGATCAGCCAGACACTCAGGCGGATGACCCAGCTTTCAAACAGATGATCGCAGGGCTTGAAAGGACCTGGAAAGAAGGAAGAAGCCAAATTACTAAAAGGAAGGAAAAATCACTGCTACAATAAGTGGCACCAAGACTGCTGAGGATCCATTCAAAAATGTCTTATAGTTACCCATATTGCCTCACTTGCATTTACAGATGATGATGATAATGCCAAAGAAGGTTACCAAAATAGAGAGCAGCTGTTCCGAAGCCAAAGGCACAAAGCAGTAAATTATCTTAATCCATCATTTTTAAGGTCATTGCTGCAATCAAAGTTTTGTAGCTGACCTTTCAAAAAAAAGTTCATTTGGGATATTATATTTGGCTTCCACTAATTGTAGGAAGAAATAAATAAATAGGACAAAAAAAACCCTACTCTTCAAGACTACTGAAAAACCTGCTTATTTTCATCTGTGATTTCAACAAAAGCTGAGCCAAAGTGTGGTTTTGTGTATTGTGTGTGATTTCTAAAATATGTTTTAGGACTTATTGTGATATGATTTTTTTTTTCATAGTATTAGAAATTAAAAATTAGCTGTATATAAAAAAGAGGTAATCCAATTGTTGCATTTATTACCATTGCATTATTCCTAATGCAGTGACAAATGCATTTCTTATCAGCAGCCTTCACAGTAGCACTTTTTCATGCCACTCTTATTTTAGGCTTTTGTGGGCTTATGTGTCTAGAGATACTTAGAATATCCATAATTTTTAACAACAGTGAGATTGTTGTAAATTATATTGTATGTATTTTGGAAATATTCTTACCAGGGCTGGGTGTACATTGGATGTTGGGGTGTAGTTTTGAATCATCAGGGTCTAGCTGGAAATCATCCATGTCTAGGTCATCTAAACAGTAATAAAGAAATTACAAGCATGTTAATACTTAATTTGCTTTTATACTGAGAATGAAACATTTCTCTTATGTTCTTAAAATCATGGCTGTTGAAGTGACATAAATATCAACTCTGTTATATTATACTACTTTATTGGATCTCATACAGCTTATCTTGAAAAAAATATTTTTGTGACTTAACATGCTAGGAAACTGAAGATAAACTAAACATATATAACAATTGTTAAAAACGAATGGACAGAACACATTTCTAAACTGGGGAATTGTCTTTGAAAAGTTAGTTCTATCAAGTTACATCTATAAAATAACTACTCTGCAGAGCATTAAAGGGGTTGCAGTTTCAAAAGAGATATAGCTATAGTATGTCCCTTAACACCACACTGGTAGGAATCAAAGGATGTTTCTTTGGAGTTTTTTTTCCTGAAATTTTGCTGCTTGATTCTAAAGGGGCATGGTTAGAATTCCAAGTCAGGACAGAAGAAAAAGTACTTCAAAATTCGTTAAATAAATTCCAGGAAATCTCGAACCATATTTTGGTTTTTAATTAAAAAAAGTATTTTTGTACATGTCATATTTAATTTTCTACCTTGCCTTGTGAACATTTTCTGATCTTTAACTTTAAATTTTATGATAAGGGCATTGGGTAGCATATCACTTCTGGAAAGTTTTCTTAATGTAGGATTTAACCACTAGTCCTGAATCAACAGTTTAGGTACAATTCTAGAGGTGGCTCCTGTGTCATAGGCTAGCAAATGAACTCTATATTTCACAGATACAGACTCCAATAAAGAGGATATTTGTAGTGCAGGGTTGAAATGAGATGTCTTTGGTGCTCTCTGAGCTTGGTTGTTTTCTTGGAGACTTTTCATTACCCAAACTACATTACATCATCAGTGCTAGTCCAGACACAGACTTTCCTGAAATGCAACTTTCTTTCCTTATTCTGGACTGAATGAAAACCTGTCTCTGTAGATTTTCTACTTTTGTCAATAAAATTATCTAAATCGTACCATTAAGTATTTTTCTCTCCAGTGAAGTTAGTTTTCTGTCTTCAAGAGAAAACTCACACAACACATAATATGATGAATATTTCCAAGGATGTTTAACACACACACACACACACACACACACACATTGAATTTCAAGTCACTGCTACTTCCTTACAAAGGTAAACCCAGATCCACCTCAGCTGAACTAGGAAGATGCTGGCACCCAGAGAAGGACCTATTGCCTAGTAGTCTAGACTTTGCTGTTTATTTTCTTGAAGGTGTTGAGAACATGATTTGGGACAGTTTTAGAAAAGATGAATATTCTTTTCCCACAAACATCCTGCCAGCAAAGCAGCCTAATTATACAAAGGGAGCCATACAGAGTTTCGATTGAACTGGCAAGTAAAAAATGAGCTTGTATGCTATTGAATGCATAGCAAGACTCAATGGTCTGATGTACACTATATGTAAGACCCCTTCTTTTGCTGGCTTGAATCAACTCTGTTTTCTAGCTCGGACTGTGGCTGAACTAAAAATTTTTCCAGGAAGAGAAGAGAGCAAACCCTTCTTCCCAGCCATTGGCAAGCAGATGCAGAACCACAAGACTCCATTGTAAATGATAAACTAATGTCCTCCTTGAAACCACAGAGTTACTGGTGGTTCTGGAAGGTGACAAAAGAAAATGTGATTATACTCATGTTGGAATAATCAAAGTGGGCTGTGTGCTTCCCAAGGAGTGGAAATTAATTCCTACATCAACATGCTCATGACTACACAAACCACCAGGTAGCAATCTGCAAGCACTATGTTCTTTGTACCTGAAAGCAGGAGGTAACACAGGAATGGAGTGAGGAATGGTATAAGGTGTTCCCATATAGTAAATCAACCTTCAATAGGGAAAAAATGGTAATTGGAGCAGATATCTATATACCCTATTTTTAAAAATAGCAATAGCAATAAAACTTTGATACTGCTCCATAGTGCTTTACAGTGCTCTCTAAGCAATTTACAAAGCCAGCATATTGCCCCTAACAATCTGGGTCCTCAATTTACTGAACTCGGAAGAATGGAAAGCTAAGTCAACCTTGAGCTGGTCAGGATCAAACTCCTGGCCTTGGGCAGAGGCAGCTTGGAATACTGCATTCTAACCACTGCACCAGCACAGCTCCTATTATTATTCCTTTATCCCCAAAGTATAGAAATGTAGAGTAAGGGGCTAGATTGGGGAAGTTTATGATAACACAAGAATACCAATTAAATATAAATTCTAATCGAACCCCAGAAATCATTAAGCAGATTGCAAGCAAAGACTTGTCCCTTCAATCTTGCAATCATATCTGACCAAATCTGAGGAACTGTTTGCATAACTATAATACAGTATGATAAGACTATTATACTTTAGGCCACAATTTAAAACCAGGATCTAAAAGGAACAAGAGTTAGCAAGTCTCGCTCTCCCCAATTGTCTGCATCAAATAAGTTTCGCATTTCAAGTCCACTCTCAGTCTAGTTACTGGGTATGTGTGTGGGCTGCATGTTTATGCAATCATGTTATGCAGCAAACAAACAATCAATGTGGTGGTTTGAGAATTCATCTACTTCCATCAGTGTTTTTGCATGTGACTTGCAACTTCACAGAAATCCCCCCCGCCACAGAAAGATTTGAGTACTAGATCTCTTCTACCTAGCAGCCACAAGGCGTCTAACTATACAGAACTTTTCTGAAATGAAATCTCTTTCTTTTGAAGTACTTGTACAGAAGCTGTGATAAAAGATTGAGACTAGTCATAAATATTACAGTAGCAGTGGAAGTGTACAGATGGAGTGATCGCCATTTACAGGTAGTTCTTGGCTTACAACCATTCTTTTAATGACCATTCAAAGTTATAATGTAAAAATTAGTTATAACCAATCCTTGCACTTACAACCGATGCAGCATCCCTTGGTCATGTGATCAAAATTTGGTTGCTTGGCAACCAGCATGTATTTACAACAGTTGCAATGTCCTGGGGTCAGGGGATCGCCAGTTGCAATCTTTGCAAAAGTCAGATTCACTTAATGACTGCATGCTTCATTTAACAACTGCAGTGAGTCTCTTAAGAATTGTGGCAAAAAGATTCATAAAACTGAGCAAGACTCACTTAACAATCACCTTGGTTAACAACAGAAATTTTGGTCTCCATTGTGGTCGTAAGTCGAGGACTACTTGTATACTGTATTCTGGTAGCTCTGGTCCTTTTTGTCAGGGACCTGCCTAGAAGGTTGTGCTGAAAGGACCTCTAAATGAGATGGAGGCGTTATTGTTAAGGAGAAAACTTATTCTGGATGGGGTTGCGTTTCTCTGCAAACAGACTGACCGTTGGAGAGAGCACTTTGACCTCTGCTGCCACTGGATTTGCAGGTCATAGCTATAGTTAAGAGTGAATTTTCACACGTATGGCTCTAGTGCCAACGATAACCCTTCCCGAATTGACCTGGTTTAGCAACAATCATCATCACTTTTGACTAATGCAATGGGTCTATTTCTAAAAAGCACAAGTGGTCTAAAATGTGGTAGCTAGATTTTTAATAGGAACCAGATATAGGGACAAGGTAATAGTGTGCTGGCCACCAATTGTCCCCAGTCATCATCTAAGGTGCTGAGGTTAACCTCTGAAGCTTTAAGCACCTCAGGCCTCACTGTCTGAAAGACTACCTTTTCCCTTAAGCACTTGCCCTCTGTGCCTGTGTGTATGTGTGTGTGTCTGCCTGTGTGCGTGCTCATGCATGTGTGTGCATGTACACAACCTTCATTGACTCCTGGTAATTACCTGGACAAGTCCCTGCAGTTTTTTTGGCAAGATTTTTGGAAGTAGTTTGTCACCGCTTTCTTCCTAATCCTGAGAGAGAATGACAAGCCCAAAGTCACCCAACTAGCTTCATTCAACTCATGCTCTCCTAGTTTCTAGCCTGTTGCTTTTTAAGCAAACTCGCTTTCTAATAATAAATAAATACCCCAAATACAGATAGTCCTCAACCTATGACAGTAGCTGAGTTTATGGTCATAAGTCATTATAGTTATTAAGGGGGTCAATATGGACCCAATTTTATGATATTTTTTGTGGAAGTCATTAAGTAAATGTTATGATCATTAAACAAATCCATGGGTTTTTTTTTTTTGTTGGAAACTGACAAAAAGCATCAAAAATTGCAATGATATAACTGAGGGCTACTGCAAACAGCCATAAAGGTGAGCTGGTTGCCAAGTCCCAAAATGTGATCAAGAGACCTCAGTGTGTGCATATGCAGCTATTGTAACTTCAAAATTTGATCATAAGTAGCTTTGGGAGGGGGTCTATTATAACTTCAAATGGTCACGAAGTGACCAGTCATAAGTCGAGGACTACATGTAAAACGAGCTTGGCTAGACTTTCCTTCTCAACAGTATTCCTGCATTTGTTATTATAAGCTATACCTCAGATTTTGCAAACTTAAATCTTGCAAACTTAAAAGACAGAAGCAGCCTAAAACAAAACTTGATCTTACAATGATCAAGTCCCAGGCTTTTCTTGTAGCCACCATCATCCTCAGGACTCATGTCCTCCGAGTCCCACTGACTGGAGATTTTGAAGAAGTTGCCACATGCTCCATAGGCACAGCACTGGTACGCATAGGGCACCTCCAAGACCCTATGAAGAAGAACATGGAGTTATCAGTTATGGTATACTGCCATTCTTCACCCATATGGGCAAAGAAACAGATGTTGGAACTAAGGCGGCTGGTTTTTTTTTTTTTTGCAAATTGAACATGGAAAGGGATAAAGTTAAGATGGAAATTCTCAGATCAAAGATCTTGACCCTTTAACACTCTCACAGTAGAAGGGCATTTTGCACGGGCATTTTTCAAACAGACTTGTAAACAATCAATAATGCTCCTTTCTCACAACCACTAAAGATACAGAGGGCCATCCTCCCAAACATAGCAAGAGACCAATGTCTATTATTTTGCAGTACCATGTAATGGACAATAGCACAGTAGTCATGTTTGTTGCATTCTCAGTATATCACGTAGTATAGTAATATTGAAGACTAAGATTATGCTATTCATGTCAGTCCAACTAGTACACAGAAAAAGTGCAGAAATAAAATTATTTAGGATACCTTTGCCAAGAATATAAAAAGTGACAGCCTTTTGGAAGTTAGTGAACATTTCTGGATAGCCACTCAAATGTAATTATTCACTATCAGTATTTTATAGCCTTTTTATCTTACATTATCATGTTTATTTTTGGGTTTTACTTTGTAATTGCATTGTGTTATATTGTAAACTGAGATTAATTTATTTGAAGTTTTATTATGTTTTATATTGGAAATACAGACGATTCAAATCTTAAACTTTTTAGGACCAGAAATTTAAATTGGTAAAGATAAGAAATTGTTATGATGTCCATACTGCTTCTTTTGATTCTGATTATGTATGCATAAATGATGAATTTAACCACCACTCCCTCTCTCTGGAAACTAATTTTGTAAATATGGCTAAGGATTCCTGACAGATAATTTCTAGCACCATTTTCATAGAACTGTAGTTCCCAAGATTGTTTGGGAAAGCTAAAACAATTAAATGGGCATAAATAAGTATTTGCTTGTATCATATGTTTGTGATCTTTTAGTATTCTCTGTGTTTATAGGAATATAAAAGAAGGAAATTCTGCGCTCTATTTGCATAATTTCTTGCTTTATATTCCTGCAAATAAAGAGATCATTCAATCTCTTTATAGAACCAGAACTAATCCCTGTGTTAGCTGCCTGTATTTTAATCAAGTGGATGCTTGCTTTTTATCAGACTGATAGGTTACCATGCTGATTGCTTGTGTATGTGAGTTTGGATGGTGCCCATGACAAGCTATTCAATGGTTCATCAATTTCTCAAATCAATGATGAACACAAAGTGCAAGCAGGAAGTTACAACTGCTCAAATCTTTAGCTGAATTGAATTATATGGAAGTACCTAGACAAAAAGACTTAGACAGCAAAAGGCAGATCGAAGTAAATTAAGTTTTGACCTTGGGAAGTCAGAAATTAGAAATGAAGCTCACCGTATCTTGGGGAAACTTTCTTTAGTGAATGCTTCAGACAGTGCAGGATTGCCTTTGAGCTTCAGATGAGTCAATCCACCCAAGCCAGCCAATGGAAGTGTCACCAGTTGATTGTCAGTCAAATCCCTGTGACAAACCAAAACACAGGACCCATTGGAATAGACAGAAAGAGGCGTGGGAGACTCAGTGCAGCAGCATCTCCGAACACATTTATTTGATTTAGCATTCATACAGTTGCTGCTTAAATTAAGTTTTGCATTCAATTCTTGATTATTTTAAAGCTAAAAGGTTTAAATGATGGGCTATTGCTAGGAATAAACCAAGAAAGAAAGTCTAAAGCACATGTCTTTATCAGGATTAACAGCAAACTGATACTTATGCCTTTTAGAATTAGTGCTACCCCAGGTAATAATAGCAGTGATGAGTTGGGACTATGCTGTGCTAGTACTGTATAGGGACAGGCAGGAAAAGTCTAATTGGTGATTTGGCCTTGGAAAGAAGCAGTTATGAGTGCCATCTTGTAAGGGAAGAGGAGATTAAAATAGCTTGTCTCATGAGATATAGTTTTGATATCTTAGAAATGCAATATGAATGCTTGGCTCTACAAACAGATTTAATATTTAGTCTCATACATGGTTGTAGCACATTAACATTGTAGAACATGGTAAACATCAATATAATGACCCGTTATACTCTGCAGACCATTTTATTAGTCCCTGCTGGCTACTCACTTAACAACCACAGTTTTTATAGAACTAATGACAGCATATAACACTTTTGGCTTATATTGGTATCTTTATATTTCAGTTTTCTACAAGAGGCGATAACTAAGATAGCTAAAAGACAAAGACTCATAAAACAAAACACAATTAAGATATAACAGTGAACTCCCAGGAAAGGACGTAGACATTTTCTGTAAAAAAGCATATATTTGTGATTATGTCTGATATAGGAAATTTTGTTATGCTTAGTCTTGAATATATTATTGCAATCAATAAGATATCAATATTACATCCAAATATTTCCAGCTTAGATGATGAATCTTAACAGTTTGCTATTTCTGTGTAGGCTACTTAAATTTATGTTGAACATATTGTCATGATTCCTTGAAGCTAGGAAATTCAGTTTGTGTGCCTGGTCTTCTACCTTCAGCCATTATCTTTAAAGAAACCAAACAGATTTTTCTTTTTTTCTCTTTCTGTTCATGCATTTTATATCTTTCCCATAAATTATCCATTTCTGTTTAAGGAATGAAAAAAGGGAAAGACACCCTTAACTCAAGCTAATCACCAGGTCACTCAGTGGTGGGATTCAGCTGGTTCGCACCACTTCGGCAGAACCGGTAGCTAATTTTTTGTTGCCCGGGCCCAGAATGGACTTCTGGAAGCAGCATCCACACAGAGAGCCGGTTCACATATTTTAATCCCACCACTGAGGTCACTACAATAGTTCACTCAGCAATAAAACCAAAGTGGTTTGCCATGGCCGTCTTCTGGTACATTTCCCAACCACTCACAGGCTTAAATTTCCATGGAGAGCATATATCTGTCCTATGCAATATAACTTACAGCTTGATGAGGGAATGGAGCATCAGAAAAGCTTCAGAGTGGATAAAATGAATGTAATTCCAACTCAGATCTCTGCAAAGCAAAATACATACTGTGATGGAAATGAATGCAACAAACACGATTACTGTGCTATTGTCCATTACATGGAACTGCAAAATAATAGACATTGGTCTCTTGCTATGTTTGGGAGGATGGCCCTCTGTATCTTTAGTGGTTGTGAGAAAGGAGAGTTATTGATTGTTTACAACTTACTACTCTCCAAGTAGCAATTTTATTTACAATAATTTATTTATGTATATTTAATTAATTTTGTTGTCTGGGAATTATCAGAATTATAATCCAATATATTTAGAAGGCTTTAGAGCTGATCCTGTTCCTTTGCACAGTTACCCATTATGACCTAAACCCATACGATCAGTTTAATTATTGGGATACCAACTTCTTGTGAGCCAAAGAAAATTCCTGAATGATGCTCAGAGAAATTCAAATTTGCATGCAGATTTATGGATAACGTCTCTTTTGCAGAAGATCTGTTTTTATCAATCCCAGATGTCTTTATTGTAACTGCTATTGGAAACCCATTTTTCAGGAATCTTATTTTCTTACCTGTCTATATTCCACTTTTTATATACTTTATATAGTTGGTATATGTAATACTTGCAATATGCTGTGAAGGACATCAATTAGAGGAAGGCAACACAGTACCAACTAGACCTTAGATGACAATTTCTATCAGCTTGTGCTAGTGTGAGCATTGGCAAGATTGCCTGGCATTGGGTTTTAGATGTAATAGAAATGTTATTTTAAAAATAAATTTAAAAATACAAAGTATCTGATAACATAACAAGCTTCTGAGGTGGCCAAATAATTTCTGGAGGGGAAAAAAATCTATCTATAATGAAGCCGCTTTCAGAAATTCTAAAGACTTCCTATTCCCAATTGTGCCCTTTGCATGCAAAATGATTTCAGGTCAAACCAAATGAATGGATAATTAATGATAGGCCTCTCTATCAGTGAGGAGATGGAACAGATTTTCTTTTCTATCCCCAACTCTCATTATATCTGGAAGTGCCTCAAATTAGATCAGTGGTTTTCAACCTTTTTAATGCCGCGACCCCCAATCGGTCGTAAGTCGAGGACTACTCAACTGGTGCAGCACCGTTTGCAGAATGGGACTTTTGGCAGGCTCAGAAGGGCAGAGACAGCCTGGACAATTCCTATTGGCTTTTGAAAGCCAATAGAATTAGACTCTATTCAAGAGAGTCTATTCTATTGGCTTTCAAAAGCCAATAGAATAAAAGGGAGTAGCACAGCTAAGGAAAAGGGGAAAAAAATGGCGGACTGCGTTGTTTGGCGACCCCCGTGAAATGGTCGATTGACCCCCAAATGGGGTCCCAACCCACAGGTTGAGAACCACTGAATTAGATGAATGAAAGGAAACTCAGGAACTTTCAAAGTGGCCTAATTATTTGATCCCAACTCTATAACTATTGCTTTCCACGCTGCCATTGCCTTTCCTAGTTCATGTATAGTATTTAACTCAGGGCTACCACAAATAATCTTCAAAAACTTGGTGACTGATAGATTATTTACTGTCATCTAGTGAGCATCCAGTAATTCTCAGCCTAAATGCAACAATATGGAAGTATAAGGAGCAATGAACATGGAAGTAATTCTCCATACGACGACTTACACCAGCTTTTAGCTGCCTGCACTTCTACTATTATCCACCTGAGAAAAACTCTTGGAAACTGGAGCATTTTTCCTGGTTTGGCTTTTCCCAGAAAACCTGGAACTTCTAGAATGTGTGTGTGATTGTATGCCTCTGTGCACATTTGAATTAGTCATGTGGTGCTATCGTCTAATCTAACCCATATACCAAAACCTTTAGTCAGGAGACTGGTATAGGAACAAAAGTCAACACTGGGGGTTAAAAGAATTCACATAATTACTTTTGCGCAGCAGTTAAAGTAGTTTACAGGCTAACAAGGCAAATTAATGGTGAACTTTGTTTATTAAATATTTTGCAGATTAAAAAAATGGAAAAAAATTTGAAATCTGAATCTATTTCTCCTCCTGTTTGTGATTTTGAAGAAGGTAACATATCATAGCTTTTTTCAATATGTATGAGAGAAATGACACAACAAAGGCTGTCTTCCCCAATATGATGTCTTCCAGATGAATAGAATTTTCACTCCCCAAATCCCTATCCAACATAATCATTAGCCATGCTGTCTAGTGATTGCAGAGTCAGGGGTCAAATATTATAACCGAACATTTCTGGAGAGTACCAGGTGGGAAAGACTGTTATTTTGTGTTCATATTGTGGAAAAATCCAGAGAAAGAAATATTTTGGGGAATATTAAAAAGGCAAATATATTTCCCCAAAGGAATAATGGAGAATATCTTAAAAAAGGACAGAAACCAGCCCCAGCTCCTCTCCCCCAAGCAGAAACTAGGCAGAGGTCAGTTTTTAGAAATGCAGATGTAATAATCTATTCAGAAAGGTTGGAGCCAGGAAGCTATTAGGAAGACAAAGACACCTAAAATCTACATACCCCCCCACTCAAATTCTAAGGACAGGAGACATATGATAGGATTAACCCACCAATACTGTTATGTCCCGAGCCTTGCAAACGGCTCGGGCGTTTGCAGGCAGTCCCGGGCAGGTGCAAAGCTGCCCGGGACCAGACAGGCTGTCGCCAGCGCCGTGCGCATGCGCGGGTGCTGGCGCGGGAAAAGTAACCCATTTACCCGGGAGTTGCCTACATAAGAGGCTGCGAGGCGTTGGGGCGAGGCTGAAGCCATCTTCTGTAAGCTGAACGCTGAATAAAAGAAACTGAGAACTCCAGCTGCTTCTCGTGTCTGTTTCCCGCCACGGACTCAACACTGGCGACGAAGGTGGGATGCCTTGCACTACCTGGAAAGGAAGAAGTGTAAGCTTACCCAAGGAGTCCTGAGCGGCGAAAGAGGAACGGCGTCGACGCGGCAGCTGCCCGCCAATCCGGTGCGCATTCGGGGGTAGGCTGGCTGATAGACCCGTCTCCTGAAGATCCGAAGATGGCGAAAATCGGAAGGCTTTCGGAATTCGACGTCTCACATCCAGAGCGGTGGGAGTCCTACGTATCCAGAATGGAGAACTACTTCAAGGCAAACCAAGTGAGGGAAGATAGCTTGAAGGCTGCCACCCTGCTTTGCGCTTGCGGCCAAGACGCCTTCGAACTCGCAGAAAACCTTGCAGCACCTGTTCCAGTAGAGTCTGTAAGCTACGCAGACCTGAAGAAGCTGCTGAAGGAGCACTTCCACCCCAAGGTGTCCGTTATCTCATGCGCCACACCTTCGAACAAAGGGATCAACGGTCCGGTGAGTCAGCCAAGGACTACATCGCCGCGTTACGGAAGGCCGCCAAGCCCTGCGAGTTCAAGGACCTCGAGGAACGACTGAGGGACCGATTCGTGTGCGGGTTAAGGCATCGAGAGCTACAACAGAGACTTTTCGCTAAGGAAGAATTATCCTTCCAAGACGCCTTAAGGGAAGTCACCGCAGAAGAAGCAGCAGGTGGCGCCGTCAAGAACATGCGGCCGATCAGAAGCAGTGCAGAGGGTGCGTCCGTGCACCAGGAAGACGTCCAACGAAACTCCGAGGAGGATCCGGACGAGGAAGTCGACCGTCTACACCCCGCGAAGAAAGAAAACCAGAAGGGAAGCTCTTCGGCTCTGCTCAAGTGCATCGGCTGTGGAGGTCGCCACAGGAGAACCGACTGCAAGTTCCGCTCCGCTACCTGCCGGGCATGCGGCAAACAAGGGCACATTGCAGCTGTGTGTCTGGGCCGATGAAAGGCAAAACCCCAAGAAGAACGCCTGAAGGGTACCAGACTCCCCAGCCAGAATAGGGTAGGTTTTTGCGCTTCGCGAAGAAGCATCTGTAGGACAGGCACACACAAGCCCATGAAGAAAAAGCTGTCACTCAACGTGAAGCTACAAGGGGTTCCATTATCTATGGAACTAGACACAGGGTCTGCCCTTTCCATCATTTCATTGCATACATTTAGGAAGATTTGTTCCAGTAGTGGGACTAAGGCCAAGTTAAGGCCTTCTGATATTGTATTAACAGATTTTCAGAACTCAAGAGTGTGTGTTAAGGGGGAGGCCACCCTTAACGTGCAATACAAGAGTTTTGAAGGTCCACTAGACTTATTAGTAGTAGGGGGTGAACGAACGAGTCTCATAGGACTCGATTGGTTTGAGGCCCTGGGGATACACGTCACAGGACTCAACAGCTTACAAACACTCGACCTACAGGAAGTCTGCAAAGAATTTGCAGATGTTTTCAGCCCCCAGCTGGGCACATTCAAAGGACCACCTGTGTCCTTAAAGCTAGACCCCACTGTCACTCCCATTAGGATTAAAGCAAGAAGGGTCCCTTTTGCTTTAAAAAGTAAGATTGACACTGAATTAGACAAACTAATCCAACAGGGAATCCTAGAACCTGTTGATTCCAGCCCGTGGGAGACCCCCATTGTCACGCCTCTAAAGGCAAATGGGGACATTCGCATTTGTGCTGATTACAAATGCACACTCAATAAGGCATTGCAGCAACATGCCTATCCTGTTCCTGTGGTCAGTCACATCCTGGCCTCTCTCAAGGGGGGGCGTGTTTTTGCAAAGCTTGACCTAGCTCAAGCATATCAACAGCTGCCTGTTGATGATGATGCTGCTATAGCTCAGACCATTGTGACCCACAGGGGAGCCTTTAAGGTAAAAAGGCTACAGTTTGGAGTGAATGTCGCTCCTGGGATTTTCCAAAGCGTAATGGAAAACACACTACGAGGTATACCAGGGGTCTGCCCCTACTTTGACGATGTCTTGATTGCAGGAGACTCCACACACATTCTAGCTGAAAGGCTTAGGGCTGTCCTGTTAAGATTCAGGAAATCAGGCCTCAAGCTCAGAAAAGACAAATGCAAGATTGGGGTGCCTTCTACTGAATTTCTGGGATTCAAAATTGATGCTGCTGGGATTCATCCTGCTGAATCCAAACTAACTGCTATTTTAGAAGCACCCAGGCCAAAGTCTAAGGCCGAACTTCAGGCCTTCTTAGGCCTCCTGAATTTCTACAATTCTTTTCTTCCACATAAAGCTAGTGTAGCTGAGCCTCTTCACAGGCTACTAGACAAACAAGCTGTGTGGCTGTGGTCACAAGCACATGAGGCTTGCTTTAAAGAAGTCAAGGCCTTGCTCACTTCTAACAGTGTTCTTGCACATTTCAACGAGTCTCTTCCTGTGTGCATCGCTTGTGATGCGTCCCCCTACGGGGTTGGAGCTGTCCTGAGTCACCTCAGGTCTGATGGAACTCAGGTTCCTATTGCATACTACTCCAGAACACTGTCTTCTGCCGAGCGCAACTACGCTCAGATAGACAGGGAGGCTCTGGCTGTTGTTGCTGGAATTAAAAAATTCCACGATTTTCTATATGGCAGGCATTTCACGGTCTTCACTGACCATAAGCCTCTGCTGGGACTGTTTACCACACGTAAGCAGACTCCCCACATCATTTCCCCTAGAATGCTTAGGTGGTCTATTTTTTTGTCTGCATATGATTTTTCATTAATCCACAAGCCTGGGAAAGAAATGGGCCATGCTGATGGCCTCAGTAGGTTGCCTCTGCCAGTAGTAGAAGCTGACCCCGCGCCAGCTGTCAACATTCTATCAATCCAAGCCTTGCCCGAGCTCCCTCTTAGTGCCAGGGATGTTACCGCTGAAACAGGTACAGATCACACACTTTCACGTGTCCGCTCCTGGGTCCTGTCGGGTGGCCTGAGCACTGCCCTAGTCCTGAGTTTCAGAGTTTCTGGTCCAAAAGGAACGAACTGTCCCTTTCTCAGGGTTGTCTGCTTTGGGGAAACAGAGTTGTCATTCCCACCTCAATGAGGACTAGGGTCTTAGAATCCCTCCACGAGGGTCATCCTGGCATTGTTCGTATGAAGGCTCTTGCACGAAGCCACTTGTGGTGGCCTGGTTTAGATAAAGATATTGAGGCTAAGGTACACGCATGCCACCTGTGCCAACGATCTCGCCCAGAGATGCCCCAAGCTCCTGTGCATAGATGGGAGGAAACACAGTCCCCATGGTCTAGGGTGCACATTGACTACGCTGGGCCCTTTCAGGGCCAGTTCTTCTTGGTCCTTGTTGACAGCCATTCAAAATGGCTTGAGGTTGTGCCTGTCTCATCCACCACCACTGCAAAGACTATTCAGGTACTGAGGGGGATTTTTGCTGCACACGGGCTGCCAGATGTCATTGTGTCCGACAACGGCCCTCAATTCACCTCCTCCGAATTCCAAGCTTTCTTACAGGCAAACCTGATTCGTCATGCCACGTCTGCGCCTTTTCACCCGTCCACCAACGGTATGGCTGAACGCATGGTGCGCATCGCAAAGGACGCCTTGAAGAGACTCACCTACGGGGACTGGCATCACAGGTTGGCTGACTTTCTCCTTTCTTATCGCACCACACCGTCCACTTCTACAGGGAGAAGTCCAGCTGAACTTCGTTGGGGGCGCCAACTTACTACTAGACTTGACCGGTTGCATCCGGACAGACTGCCTTCATCTACCTCACATCCTAGGGCACCTAGACAACTACTTGTGGGTGCCCCGGTTTGGGCTCGCAATTACGGGCCTGGTCATACATGGGTCCCCGCTTCTGTGTCCAGGATCACAGGTCCTCTCTCCTACGAGGTTGCCCTGGACAACGGTCGTGTCCTGCGTCGGCACATCGACCAACTTCGCTCTAGGCGAGACTTTTCTGATGAGACTCCTGGGTCTTTTCCAGGGGGGGAGGGGGACCCTTTGGAGCAAAGGGAAGGGCAAGAGCTACTGCCCATCTCCACTGAGGGAGCCACAAACGGCCCATCCCAGGGTTCTGCAATTGCTCCGAAAAGAAAGTCATGGAGCTTACCCACACAACAGGCACTCACGCCTACTCCAGCCAGGGAGTCACCCCGGGGGCATACTCACTTTCCACACACATCACACAGCACTCCAGCAACGGAGGATACCCGGGGGCATCCCAACAAATCATTCCCGCAAGAGAGCTGGCACACAATTCCCAAGGTTGGCCTGACCTTACCCCAAATCCTACAGGGGGTCAAACATACACAGAGCTAGTCGAGGAACCAAGTCCCGACTACAACAACCCTAGCACAAATCAGGGAACACCTGAGTTTTGGGAAAGTACAGAAACCCACACGAGCCCGAGCACAGAATGGGGTTCAGGGAATGGACAGCCTCCTGACAGGTCTTGGACTGACCTAGGAGGTTCTACAGAGACGCCCAGCAGTGGCTATCACTTCAAGGGGCCTGAGGGTCTACAGCTAGGTAGGACAACCAGGTCACAAAGCAACAGAAGCCCTGGCCTGACGAGCCCGGTGGGCAAGCAAGCAGGCCAGGCATCGGGGCACAGTCCTTGGAAGACACCAGGGCACAATAGAGAGAACAGGCTCACGCCTCCCTCCAGTCAGGGAACTTATGCCAGTAACCCAGAGCTAAGAAGGTCACAGAGAGCAAAGAAATCTCCTAAGTACCTAGAAGATTACATAACATTGCTGGCAAGGCAAAAGCCAGTAAACAGTGGGAGCACTGGGGAGCAAATTGTCGTATAAAATAAATGTTGTATGTTGGTAGTAGTTTTAGCCCGGGGGAAAGGGGTGTTATGTCCCGAGCCTTTGCAAACGGCTCGGGCGTTTGCAGGCAGTCCCGGGCAGGTGCAAAGCTGCCCGGGACCAGACAGGCTGTCGCCAGCGCCGTGCGCATGCGCGGGTGCTGGCGCGGGAAAAGTAACCCATTTACCCGGGAGTTGCCTATATAAGAGGCTGCGAGGCGTTTGGGCGAGGCTGAAGCCATCTTCCTGTAAGCTGAACGCTGAATAAAAGAAACTGAGAACTCCAGCTGCTTCTCGCGTCTGTTTCCCGCCACGGACTCAACAAATACCAAAAGGGCACACTCAGACTCAAGTCAAAGTATATGACACAGGAAATACAAAGCCTCAAACAGGAAGAACTCTAAACAAAAGCTCAAGAAGGTATAAAATCCCACCACTCCCTGCTACATGAGGTCAGCTTTCCCAGAGCCACACTTCTGTCTGGCTCTACTCTTCAATAAACTACAACCTTCTTTCTAAAGCAGTCTCCATTTTGTTTATTCCCAGTTTGGGCTGGACTCTGATGAAGATTTTTCTTTCTACAATATTTTAAATTCATTTTGCAGAGTGCTTCTGCAGCATGGGTCTATGCTTAACTGTATTGGGGTTAAATATTGGGTGACAATGGTCTGGTAGGGCCAACTTACTTTGAATTTTTTTTATATATAACTGAGCCTGTAATCTTGTTAAGAGCATAAAGCCTTACTGTCAGAAGGCCCTGACAGCTCCCTGCTGGCTGTACTTACAGGGAGCGCAAGGCTGTGAGCTGCCCAAAGGTGTCTGCTCCAATTTCGTGGATACAGTTGTGCTGAAGGCCACTGCAAAGACAGAAAGGCTGCAATGAGAGAGAAAAACGTGCTCCACTGGCAACAGAAGAAAGCATTTCTGCGAAGAAGGTTACTTCTATTAAGGATTACACAGGGATTCAAATTTCAAGGGGAAAGTGGGTCAAGGAACATATCCACCCAATCCCCTCCCACCCTTTTCCCCTTGAAAAGCCTCAGGCTTGGGGCAGTGCACCATTCAAATCAAAAGCGTGCAAGTAACAAAGTTTCTTTTTACCAAGAGTTCCCAGGCCTCTTCAACATCTGCTCCTGCTATGGAGCTTGGAGAGCTCCATGACACCAGATGATATTCTCAGCCACAAGAATACCATATCTAAAGGGAACAGGCAGAAAACACTGGGGACTCTGTGCTTTCATGTCTTGCTTTCACGGTAACCTTTGTGAGTCAAACTCAGTTATAAAATATTTTGGATGCTCCTATTATTTTCAGCACCAGAACGACACAAATATTAATTCAGGCTTTTATGTTATCTACTGGGCACAATCAGAGGGGAAGGTGGGAGGATGAAAAGTGATAAAAAGAGAGAAAGAACACCCCCCACCAAACCTCTGAGATATAAAACCTCCAGAAGACTCCACACTAAGTCACTATGTATCAGGTTTAATCTCTCAGTTGTTCACACATACCCACCAGATGCTCAGTAAGTTACTTGGATCTGGGAATTTCACAGCAAAGCAACACTTACATTTCTTCCAGCTTCTGGCACTGGTGAAAACTGGGCAGTTTCTCAATGTGATTGTGCGCAAGTTCACTGAGTGGAAAATAACAAAGGTTAGAACAAAGTCAGTCTTCTTAAAGGCCCTCTTGGCATGCATACAGTACGGAGGAAGGGAGTGCATGACTTCAGGCTATGCAGCTGGGTAAGCAGGAAACCCCACAGACAGGTAAATCTTCTTGTACCCAACTGATGCTTGGCACTGTTCCTTTTATTCATTTCATCATCCGGTTTCTGGTATTATTCCTTGATTACCCCAATCCATTTCTTATTAACTTGTCTATTACGCCCAATTTAATAATAATAAAAAACCAGTGCTATGAACAACTTATTTAGTGCATCTCTAAGGCAGCAGAGGGCTTTGAAGCCCTTCAATAATAAGCCAATATTAAGGGATAGTTCAGCAACTAGTGGAAAGCTGCTGCAAGTTCTCCATTACTGCTTTAGAAGATGACAAACACATGTTTTCCCCACATGTTAGAGTAACATAACATCTGTTTCATGCTGTTTGTATTTATGTAAGGTATTTTTGAGTGATGTTCAAAAATAACATAACTTAAAAACAATAGAATAAATAAAAAATGTTCAGTAGAGAAACATCCCAAATATTAATAAATGTGATATCATTACATTACTTTAAACAGCTTTGTTGGTATGCTGGGAATGTTAAGTGCTAGATTCTTATTCTACAGGCCCTCCCTCCTATATCTCAATTGAGCAGGGTTTCCATCAACTTGCACTAAAGCAGTGGTTCTCAACCTTTTTAATGCCGCGATCCCCAACCAGTCGTAAGTCGAGGACTACTCAACTGGTGCAGCACCGTTTGCAGAATGGGACTTTTGGTGGGCTCAGCAAGGAAAAAGACAGCCTGGACAATTCCTATTGGCTTTTGAAAGCCAATAGAATTAGACTCTATTCAAGAGAATCTATTCTATTGGCTTTCAAAAGCCAATAGAATAAAAGGGAGTAGCACAGCTAAGGAACAGGGGGAAAAAAATGGCGGACTACGTTGTTTGGCGACCCCCGTGAAACGGTCATTCGACCCCAAATGGGGTCCCGACCCACAGGTTGAGAACCACTGTACTAAAGCATTTTTGATTTCAGATATCTTTTTTTTTCTCCATTTCCACCCTTGTTTTTTTTGCAACCAGGGGTCTCAATTTATGCTAGCAATCTGAAAAAGGACACAGATATAATCATATGATTCCCTTATTATCAGTTCCTAGAATGGAGAAAGAAGGCAAATGAAACAGTTGCCACAACTGTACAAAAGAACCCTTATATTTGATTGTTCAGCAACAGACCAATGAATGGTGTATTGGTAATAAAGGCAATTCCCCAAAGCCTGAAGAAAGCAAAATGTGCTTATAACTTACAGAACTCGTAGGCTGGCCAACTGCTGACACATTCCTCCTGGAAGCAAATGGATTCCAGCCTGGGTTAAAGTCCTGCAGGAGAGGGGAAAAAGCACCCTTCACGTCATCCTTTACTTCTTCAAGGGCTCAGGATAGCCCAAACCAGGATAGTCAGTTGGAAGACTGTTCAATAAATGATTGGTATTACATGAAAATATGTTTATCACATAGCATGTGAACATCTATTTGGCATCAAAGCGTAATTTCCAAGACTATAATGTACTCATTTATTTGAAGGAAATTAAGAAAACAACACAGAGATGAATTGGAAAGTTTTCCTTAGATTTTTTTTTTCCAGTTTCTAAACTAACATAATCCTCTGTTATCCCAGTAGAAAAATGAAATAGGAAAATGGATATATAATTGGTTCAACAGCTGTTCTTAGGTAAAACAATGCAGAATAATGGTACTTTTCCAGATATAGGAAGATCCAAAGATTTATGTGAGGTGGCATTGCTAAAGATGATGTGCAAACATGCTTTTTCAGTTTTCCACTTTCCTGAAAGATTATGTTTTTTGGAACAGGGATGGGAAAACTATGATTCTCCAGATGTTGCTCAACTAAAACTAACAGCGGTCCCAATCTGTATTTTAGAGGTAAGGAAAGCTGGGAGATGCAATGCAGCAACATTGGAAGCCAATGTGTGATGAGTTAGCATCTGATATCAAATGGGAGCAGTTAGGCTGCTTCTTGAGCATAATAAAAATTTGATTAGGCAAAATATGTATTTTGGGTCAGAAATAAGGACATTGGCAGTATCTTTCTGCCTTAGAAATCAGTGACATAACACATTCACTCATATAACAGCATCCACAGCAAAGCACAATGATGCCAAAATGACAATATGAATTTGGTGACGTCATTACACAAATAAATACTTGCATCCTGATGTCTAATGCAAAACTCATAACTGGCAGCAATTGCATGAGGGTATTGCCACACAGGTTTTATCATTTTCCCCTTCCTTCCTCTCTCTCTGGGGCTCTCATGCACCGAGATATCCACAGGAGAGGAAAGCAAAGGGGTCCTGACAAAGGTACTGCATTATCATGACACAAATGCCATCACAGTACTATTTCACCATTCTGGCATCAACAGAATTAGTATGGATGCTTATGATATTACTTGTAAATATAATTGGAAGACTGGGGATGAAGAAATGGCTCTGAATTTTATGGTGCTGTTTCTTACATAATTTGAAGTACAGGATTTCCAGCAAACGCTTTCTCTGGAATAGCCTGGATGTTGTTGTTATGGAAGCCCCTTTAAACAAACAAACAAAATTCTAGGATGGTTAAAAGAAACAGAGCAGGAAAACTAAAATTTACTACACAGCTGTATGAATGATGATCAAATGGGTCAAATGGACAGATTTCTCTTTTGCTGAATTCACATGGCTAAAAGCTGAATAAATAATGCTTCCCAGCTGCACGAACATGCAAATATATTAATTATTTTATTTTATTTGTCAAATAAGCAATTTACATGAAAACAAAATTTGTGTTTGAATCCTCCAGCTATTCCATGATATAAGTATGTTTGTATTTATAGTTTATGGGATGGAAACATAGAACGAAAATTGTAAACCAAATACCAAAGTTAATTTTTTAGTAAATCTGAATTAGAACAAATGTCTAATATCATATGGCAATCAGAAATTCTATTAGAATATGCATTATCAAGCAGAAGAGACATCCTCTTTGCTCAAAGAAGTCAACAATGTAAACTTGAGAGTTTATATCTTTATCCTGGGAGCAGTGTAATTTCATGTCACCAAGGCAATTAAAGTATTCCAGTTGAGCGGAATGCAGAAACCGGAAGCATCATCCACACAATTAGGGGCATGTGGATATATCTTAATGCCTGGGAAATTTACTTATAATGCATGAATCTTGCTTGAGATGTCACAAATTGTCTATGTCATAAAAGAATGAATGGACTTCAGTGAGGTGGAAAAGAGAATTCCACTGAAAGTAATAATTAGAAGCCCCAAACTTTTTCTGGGAACCGAAAAACAGCAGGAGCAGCAAAAATTAGCCAAGCAAGAAGGAAAAAGAAAAGTATGTCCCTGTCAGTTCTGTGTGCTTTTAATGGCTCTATCCAGACTTATAAGTGTGTACATATGTCATCACTGGGGTCAAAGCCATCATTAATAAAGCTCACAGCAGATTCCCTGCTGGTAATTAACAGTATGGAAGTTTAACAATACATTAATGGTGTCTGTGAAACATTTACTGCCATGCTGAATATGATCAAGCAGAATTATGGAGGAATGGTGAAAGAATGCCTATTAGGGTTTGGGATTGCCCACATTAGAGTTGAGCTCAAATGATCTGTTTGAACATTATTCCTACAGAAAGAAAATAAAAGTCTTACAGCTCTTGAAGTCTATTGAGTGACTTAATCGCCATTGGGAATTCCATCAGCTCATTATAATTTAGGTCCCTGGGAGGAAAAAAATCAAAATCAACATTACGAATCTTGGAAAAGTGCACCAGAGTGTAACATATTGCAAAGGGTTAGGAAGAGTTACTAAGAGATGAGTTTTCCAGAATCATAATGTCACATGACTTAAAAAACCTTGATATTTCAAAGAGATGTTGTAAAAATCATCTGGACTGGGCCCAAGTAACCTAGAATCTCATAGGAAAATTGTGGGTTTTTGTTTTTTGCTCCATAACAATTGTTCCAGGTGTCTTCTCTTAGCTATGTCCAGGCGCCATTTTAGTTTACCCTAAAATTTTAATGTCCTACTCTATTCTCAATATTATCCTAAAATAATAGGAATAAAGGAAAATATTTTTTTCTCAGTCTGACAGCCTCTATGTTGGTTGAAAACACACCTGGCTGAAGATTCTTGGAACAGTAGTTCAACACATTTGGAGGACCCCAGGACAATGAAGGCTGCTTTAGTGCATGTTTAAATGTTACACTTTTTTTGCAGCTCACTCTGACAGCAGCACGAACACCCTTGAAACTAGTGCAGAAGCTTCAGTATTTGCTGCCAGGACAAGTGATGTATGACAATTTTAAATACATGTAAAGAATGCACCTACCATTCTAATAACCCATCATTTACTTACCTGGTTGACAGATAGGAATTTGACACATTTTCCAAAAGAGATAAAAGTCTAATAATGTTTTGTTCCCCCATTGGATATGTCATGTATGAACTAGTTCATGGATCTTAGAAAAGGGGCAGAATACCCAGACTCTGATAAATACTTTTTCATACATTCCTACCTTTAATTATTACTACACGAATATGATAAATTGCCCAAAAGATGTTCTAAGGATGGTGATGCTGGAGTATTATATATTATCACATGAATTAGCATCACTAAACATTTAAGGAGAAAATGAGATTATACACGATCTGTGTGAAATAATATAATACTGTAATATAATAATAATAATAATAATAATAATAGGTCCTAATATTAGCACTTCTTTTCTGTAGTCAAAGTGTGTCATCTGTATCTTCATTTGTGGATTTGAATTAATCCAGATTTTTGTAGAGAGGGTTCCCCACTATTCTATTGTTATAACAGCATGTTAATGAAAATATTATTTCCAGTAGTATAAAGGTTTATCAGTCATAATAACATTTTTATCTTTGGGCTTTGATGGATGGATGGACATGAGTGTATCCATAAAAATCACATAATTGCAATTTCATTGACATGTACCATTTCAGTTCCAAGTATTTCTTCCCTATGACATAAGTTATTTCCCTTTACATGAGAATAAAAAGTTGGTACAAAGTTAGCAAATCCCAAAAGTTCTTGACATTGTTAGATTAGACCATTTCAGATAAAGTTTTTATAATTACTTGTAAGGAATTATAGCATGAAGAAAATTGTTTTGTATCTGATGCTATGTTAAAATATCACAAAATGATAGACAAATAAAGATAGATATATTAGATAAATAGATAGATATGTGAAATAAATAAGTTGATTCATAACTAGTTTTTTTCTGTTTATATACAGTAGCGAGTGTTGATGGGGTATGGATTTTTTTCTTAGTAGTTCCCCCTTAAGAAGAAAATCATATCCCATCAATATGGCAAGGCAAACTATTGTACATAAATCTCACATTCAGTAGTACTGAAGATGTTATCTAGTTGTGTCGAAGTATAACAGATCTAGCTCTACAATGAGAGTAATGCTAAGCAGTCTATTCTGTGAATCCAAGGAAACTGGCAGCCCTCACTATGAGCTATTGTAGAAATGGTAGACAAAATAACACGTTACTTGACAATGAATATAATTAGCAACAATGCCTCATTTTGTATGTTTTTGTACTTCCTCTTAAAGTGCTCTGATCCAACACCATTTTTTAAAAAATGATGATTGTAATTTTGGCTTGCCTTTCTAGCAGACTACATGTATCTACAGGAATAGTTCTTCCTCCATGAATACTGGCATTCTTTGTGATGTTGAGAGCAAATATGAATAAAGCCTCTGCTTGGCTGAGATAGTATACATTGCATTTTAAGCAGATCTCTGTAGAAAGAGGAATCATCACTGAATTTAGTCTGCAAATGCATTTCTTGAAAAAATTAAATTATATCAGATGCAAACAATCTGTTTGTACAATGAAGTAACTTTCTCACAGATTACTCTTACAAATATTAATTTTAGCCAGTGCAAAATAAGAATGTTATTTAGGAAGCCTTTGTGTTTAAGCATGTGCATTCAGAGAAAGTTGAATGGATACAACTGCAGAATAGAAGAAAATAAATGATAGTGCTGGAGAAATATTGACACAGAGAAGACCAACATATGCCATTAAAAAAGATGAAAGAAAAATGGCATAGGTACAACAGAGACCAGGAGAGAGAATACATTTAGGCAGGAAAAAAGCCTTAATTTGAGTACTTGCTAAGGCTTAGGTATAGAATGTATTTCAATACATGAAAAACAAAATTTGAAAAACAACGACAATACGTAGATAGTGTTTCTTTCACTAAGAGGAACCAAAGCCTGCATTTCTCCCATATATACTTTCTGGGGGTGATGATATTATTTCTTGTTATAGTAGGCTACTACTAGAGAGCATTTTTTAAATTTTTGTCAAGATAATTTCTAGGAAAAAAGGGATTATTATAGCACAAATCTGAATGAAACAATTTCATCAGTTTTACAATACTTTGACTATCCTCAGGTCTTTAGGATTGTCTCTATATCAGCCATCCCCAACTTTTTGTCTTCCAGATGTATTGGATTACCAATCTGAGAATACTCAAAAAACATCTGGAGAAGATAATTTTATGGGAAGCTATTCATAGTAAACCTTGCCACTGAAAACTGTGCCAGGGACATTTCTCTGTAGTACTACTGTGGAACTGATGACTTCACAAGGTCATTGTGTGCAATAACAAAGCATCAATATTGAGTTATTTATGGGCTGAAATAAAGATACCATAGGCTATTAAATAAATGTTTAAACTGAAATATATTATCAATGGCAGCAATCTAATATCATGCAATATTCAGGATGTTAACTTTGGCAGATTGTTCCCCATATTTCATAATATTTCTGAAAGAGACACTGTTCTAGGTTTGTTAATTCCTCCAGGCTGCGCAAGTAGATTTTTTCAAACTGTGAGATCTCATTTGCTTTTTTTACTATAACCCCTAGGTCCATTCAATGGCAGAAAATTAAAACCCAGGATTCACAGGTAAGACACAGATAATTTAAGCAAAGAAGAGAGTATGTCTAAGTTGAAACCTAGCCAAAGAATCATAATTAAATTTAGAAATAATTTTTTCACAAAAATCAAGTTCTGTTTATCTTTGGACATTTTCTTTGTTTCAATAGTTTAATAGTAGAGGAAAGGGTAGAGAAAACCTATGCTTGCTCTTGATATTATTGAACAATTGGGAATAAAAAAATTCTCACTTTCTACAACAATTTACTAAGAGATATTCCAATAATCCCTGAACTGGTTAGCCTTTGTTGACCCATGAGCATCCAAAGCTGATATGTAAATAAGCAATTAAGAAATCCACTGTAGGAGATTTCTAGATAGAGTTGGGAACTTAGTCGCATCATCAATATTTCATTTACATCATTATAGATTTATTGTTAGCAGCTCTGCATTTTTTAATATATTTCAAACTATCACTTCTTCTCTGCAGATACTGTTTCTTCAGACCTGTATTATGCTGTTCCTAGGAAAACACAATTTGGTCTCTGGCCAGTGCTGACTTCAGTTTGGAAGGTGACTGATTGTCATAGGTATCAACTAGACAGTACCTGGTGTATTATTTAAGTTAGTTATCTAGAAATTATGGAAGTTAAGTTCCAATTTATGCAAATAGGATATCAAATTATCAAGTTCTGAATTTTGTTCAATAATTGTCACCTGACATCTTTTTAAAAGTATTTTTTTAATAAATAACTCAAAATGGCCATCTTACCTGATACTACTTCCTCGTCCTACTTTCCCTACAGCAACAACTCTGAGACTGAGACTTGGACTGAATGGATTAAAGTCACCCAGCTGGCTTTTATGCCTAATGCGGGACTAGAATTCACAGTTTGAGGGGTCCTTGGTGCTCTCTGAGTTTGTTTTCTTGCAGAAGTTTCATTACCCAAACTAGGTAACTGATGATGTTACCTAGTTTGGATAATGAAACATCTGCAAAAATACAACCAAGTTCAGAGAATACCAAGATCCCTTCATTTCAAACCTGAGTACAAATATCTTTATCAAGTCACAGTCTCCTGGTTTCTTGTGTTGAATACACAGAACTCTTTTATTAGCAAAAGCATACAATAAAATAAAACAAGAATGGAAAATTGAGGTATTTAGAATTCCGCCCCAAGCCACCAAAAGAAAATTTTATTTTCCCCGTATTCAGACAACACAAACTAGAAATAAAAAAAATATATGAAAAGAGACTATTGCCATCCATAGTTGAAGCCTTCTAGAGCTCAGTGATACTGCCAAAAATAATGAGGAATGGATACGAAAGGAATGATCATAAACTACTATGCAAATTTATAGCTGCCCAGTTAGGTTTTGCACCTAGTATATCTTTTAAATTTGGAATCTATTAACATTTCTCCCTTTCTCCTGGAAAAGTAAAATGCAAACTTAAGTTGTTATTGCTCTGGAAAACCTCCATCGACTCATATTTAGAACACAAATCTGTGTTTATTTAAGAGTAAAAGTAAATTGGCAGTAGCAAAATGATGATTGCTGGTTTAGGCTGCTAGAGTTATTACCTTGAACCAACAACACACAGCTAGAGTCTAATAATAAACTTGTGAGGGGGCAGAAAAAGGGAAAATAAAAAAAAAGAAATCAAAAAAGGAGCAAAAGATGGCGAAAGCTTCAGTTTAGTATTTGGCCTATTAGAAGCTAGTGGTTCTGCATAGGAAGCCAAGATGAAACTGCATGGAATGGAATCACTTCTTCCATAGAACACCAC